AATGGGGAAAAAATAAGAACCAAGATACATCATGTACAGGTACAAGCACCCAATGATAAATGTAAACATATTGTATACCTAAAATGTATCAATAAAAGAATTAAACAAAAACAAAAACAAAACATATATGAGTTAATCCAGCCAAGGAAGTAGAAGACTACAATGAAAACTGTATCACTCTGAAAAGGGAAATCAAGGAGGACACCAGAAAATGGAAAGATATCCCCTATTCCTGAATAGGCAGAACCAATATAATCAAAATGGCTATACTTCCAAAACTGATATACAGATTTAATGCAATCCCAAACAAAATACCAATGCCATTTCTCACAGTTAGAGAAAACAATCCTGAAATTTATATGGAATCAGAAGAGACCCAGAATAGCAAAAGCAATCCTGGGTTACAAAAGCAAAGCAGGAGGCATCACAATCTCAGATTTGAAATTATACTACAAAGCTACTGTGATTAAAACAGCATGGTACTGGCACAAAAACACGCATGTGGATCAGAGGAACAGAATTGAGGAAGCAGGAACAACCCTAGGCACATTCAGCTGTTTGATCTTTGATAAAACGGCCAAAAACATACACTAGAGGAAAGAGCCATTGTTATGTTATGTTATTTTCTTTTATTTTTTGGTACCAGGGATTGAACTCAGGACCTTGCACTTGCAAGGCAGGTGCATTGGCACTGAGCTAAATCTCCGGCTCAGAAAGAGCTTTTTTAATAAATGATGATGAGAAAACTGGATATTCACATGCAGGAGATTGAGTCTAGGCTCAATTATCTCACTGTGTGCTAAACTAAAATCAAAATGGATCAAACATCCAAATGTTAAAACAGAACACACTTAATCCTCTAGAAGATAAAACAGGTAAAGCTTTTTTAAGACATAGGTGTGGGCAAGGACTTTCTGAACAGAACCCCAATGGCACAAGAAATAATACTAAGAATCAACTGATGGGATCACATCAAATTAAAAAGCTGCACAGCAGGGGCCGGGGCTTTAGCTCAGTGGTTCCACCACCTGCCCCGAAAGCACAAGGACCCGAGTTCAATCCCCGGTACCAAAAACAAACAAACAAAAGCTGCACAGCAAAGGCAACAACCAACAGAGAGAAGAAACAACCTACAGAATGGGAAAAAATTTTTGCCTCAGACAGAGGACTAACATCTAGAATATATAAAGAATTAAAAATAATTAGACCCCTCCCCAGTAAAAGTCCTAAACAAAAAATGGGCAACCAAAATGAATAAACACTTCTCAGAAGAAGTACAAATGGCCAATGAATACATGAAAAAGTGTTGAACATTTCTGCCCATTAGAGAAATGCAAATTAAAACATCTTACTCCAGGGCCAGGGATTTAGCTCAGTGGTTTCGCTGGCTGGTACGAAAGCGCAAAGACCCGAGTTCGATCCCCGGTACCAAAAAACAAAAAACAAAACAAAAACATCTTACTCCAGAAAGAATGGCTACCAGGAAATCAAATACAGTGGCCCCTCAAGTTACGACCAGCCTGACACACAAACAACTTGGGTTAATTAGGTTAATGGAAGATTCATCTGCCCCTTGTTATCTATAGCGTGTACCAGGTAAACATCTGGATCTCAGCTGGGCTTGTGAAGGACACTGCCATGGGCTCTAGGCCTTCAGCTGGACTCATGTGGGACACTGCTGTAGGATCCAGGCCCTTGACTGGGTTCTTCAGGTCTCGAGTGGATGGACAGATCTCTCGTACTGTTCTGCATTTGACTTTTTGGGTGAATATTATAAAATAATCCTATAAATTATGTGTCCAGTATTAAATCCATTCCCTTGCAAGCCCTGGCTACACCAAGTTTATAGCAGGCTAATTTATAAGAGCTAAATCAGAAATGGCCTATATGTCTACCAACAGATGAATAAAGAAAATGTGGTATTTATACACAATGGGAGTACTACTCTGCTATAAAGATAAACTTGAGGTATATGTAGGTAAATGGATGTAACTTGAGAACATAATATTAAGTGAAATAATTCAGACACAAACTTAAATATTGCATGGTTTTTCTTATATGAGAAATTGACAATATATATTGCATATGTATTCATAATATATAATAATTATATAATTATATGTATATATGACAAAATAGTTGTTAAATAGGAAGTAGGGAACAAATGGATGGGGGGGACAAGAGATGGGTGGAGAGGGGGAGTAAGGGGAGGGAAAGGAGATGAAAAAAACCCAAAGAAATGAAGGGGAAAAAATGGTGAAAATAGTTTTTATATATGGGAAGGGGATCAAGAGTTGGGAGAAAGCAGGGAAGAAGGGGAGGGGTAGCAGATTTTTAAATAAATGAATCATTAAGATGTATTATGTACATTTACTGACTCCCCACAATAAACATAATCATTCTGGAGCCGGGGATTTAGCTCAGTGGCACCGCACCTGCCTTGCAAGTGCAAGGACCTGAGTTCGAACCCCAGTACCAAAAAAACAAAACCCCAAACAATAAATATAATCATTATGTACTGCAAACATGCACTAATAAAAAAGGAAATTTAAACAGTGGGCACACGACTTAGACACTGCACCAAACAAGATGTACAGATGTCGTGCAGGTGAAAAGATAGCATCACCAGCCAGCAGGGAAATGCCGTGGGTGCCACTATGCACTCATTAGAACGGCAAAAGTGGTTTTTAACCACTGAGGCTGGGGATGTAGCTCAGTGGAAGAGCACTTTCTGAGCATGTATGAGGCCCCAGCACCATGAAAAAGGAAAGTTCAGCATTTTTTTTTGGTACCGGAGATTGAACTCGGGACCTTGCGCTTGTGCAGCAGGCGCCGGAATCACTGAGCTAAATCCCCGGCCCAAAGTTAAAATATACATATGTGAATTTTACTGGCCATTCTACTCCTAAGTATCTACTCCAAGATTGAAGGAAATATATATCCATATGAAGACTTTATTTTTGGTACCAGGGATCAAACTTGGGTCCTTGTGTTTTTGAGGCAGGTGGCGAAACCACTGAGCTAAATCCCCGGCCTCACGTGAAGACTTGTACACAAATGTTCATAGAGCCAGGGATTTAGCTCAGTGGTTTCGCCGCCTGCTGCGCAAGCGCAAGGACCCGAGTTCGATCTCTGATACCAAACAAAAACAAAAAACAAATGTTCATAGTAACTTATTTATAATAGACAAAAATGAGAAGCAACCTGAATGTTCATCAAAAGGTGAACAGCTAAACAAATTATGTTATATTTATGTAATGAAATATTACTGAACAATAGGACGAACCAGGATAACACAAATGAATATGATGAATCTGAAATTCCTTACACTGGAGTGAAAGAAGACAAAAAGAGTACATACTCGAAGATTCTTTATGGCTCTAAAAATGACCCAGGCATGCTGGCTCACATCTGTAATCTGTAATCACTACACAGTGAGTTCAAGGCCAGCCAAGACGACATAGATCTTCTCTCAAAAAACCCCTAAAACTAGAGCAAGACAAAACAAAACTTCCTAAACCCTCTAAAAACTACATCGACAAAGCAGTTAAGTGGTGCATAAGAAAGAAAAGTGGGGAGGGGCAGAAGGGAGGGAGAGATTACAAATGAATAGGAGGAAACTTCTGCAGATGATGGATATGTTCATTATTTTACCTGTTGTGATGGTTTCACAGGTATAAACCTGCATCAAAACTTATCAAACTGCCAGATGCAGTAATGCACACCTGTAACCTGAGCTACTCGGGAGGCTGAGTGAGGCAGGAGGATTGCCAACTTCAAAGCTAGCCTAAAAAACAGCCGGAGGCCGAGGATTTAGCTCAGTGGTTTCGCTGCCTGCTGCGTAAGTGCAAGGACCCGAGTTCAATCACGGGTATCAAAAAAAAACCAAAAAGAGCCAGGCTCTGTCTTAAAATAAAAAGGCGGGGGGGAGCTCGTGATCCCTGGGTTCAATTCCCTAGTACCACAAAAAAACAAAACAAAGTCACTGTCACATGGCTAATTTTGTTGTTGTTTTTGGTATTGGGGATTGAACTCAGGGCCTTTGCACTGAGGTACATTCCCAGCCCTTTTTTATTTTGAGACAGGGTCTTACTAAGTTGCTAAACTGCCCAGTTTTCAATCCTCCTGCTTCAGCTTCTGAGAGTGCTGGGATTACAGCACTCTCACACCACACACTCTCACGCCAGCTGCCACCACACCTGGCCTTGTTTTTTTGTTTTGTTTTGTAGTGCTAGGGCCTGAAACCCAGGGCCTCGTGTAAGCTAGGAAAATTCTCCACCACTGAGCTATACCCCCAGCCCCTGTAGTCATTAATTCTTAATTTTACTGTATTGTATTTTTTAACTTATCTGTCTTTTAATAAAGGAAACTCCAGCTGGGTGTAGTGCTGCAAACTCCAGCTAATAGGGAAGCTGAGGCAGGAGGATTGCAAGTTCGAGGCCAGCCTAGGCAATTTAGCAAGACCCTGCCTCAAAATAAAAAGGGCTGAAGAAGTAACGGTGCTAGATCACCCATGGGTTCAACTGCCAGTGCCGCCAAAAAAAACCCAAAAAGGAATTTGACAGCACAAACAGTCACCTGGCTGTGTTCTAAATCTGCCCTCTTCCACAGAAGGTAGCACAAGCAATATAATGTCAGAGCGTCTTGTCCTCATCCTTAGAGCTTTATCTTACCCATCAACTTGTTGACATTTTGTTTCTGTAGGTGGCCAATGAAGTGCCATTTGATGTCAGGACATGAAGACAGAATCTGAAGGGGAAAAGGAAATGACATTTGACTCAGAGCTGATGGTTTTCTGGCTCAAACCTTCTCATGAGCCCAGTGACCTTTCACCTCTACGGTGTTCTGTAAGTGAAATAAACTGCTACCTCCATCTTCAGTCAGCAGCCCAAAGAGGCAAAAGGATGCTCAGAAAAATCAAAGGCGGGGGAGGGGATTTAGCTCAGTGGTGCTGCACCTGCCTGGCAAGTGCAAGGTCCTGATTTGGATTCCCCCCAAAAAAAAGAAAAGAGAAAAAAAAAAAAATCGAAGGCTTCTGGTCTGTTCCCTTATTACCATCAGCTCCTCTGTCTTTCAGTCATCATCCCTTAGGGATGAACTGATTTACACTTTCAAATCCCAGAAGGAAGGATATGAGAGTACAGCAAGCTCCTAAAAGAACCATTTCTAAACAGCTACAAAAAAGAAAATTATATTCGAAATAAAGACAGAAGATTTAGCTGAGAATTAACTGGGGCTCAAGGTAAAAGTGGACACTTGTACCCATTCTAACTTCCTGTTTTAAACCTCAACCACCAACATGGGTCTAATTTTCAACTAAAGAGCCAAGACTAAGTTAAAAACTAAAGAATTCCGATATCCACTTACTTTAGGGTTTGATGCTTTTTCTAGCAGTTCCTGAACCTAAAGGGTAAAATCAGAATAAGTCAGAAGCCTGGCAATCACAATTCTTCACAAGGGTCTTTGGAAAAGGGCTCTTACGTAGTTTTCTCCAAAAGTGCGCTGGCCATGATTGTAGGCCTCGATCACCATCTCCACAGGTTTAGTTTTGCTGACTGCTACAAGACGGGGCTGGATGGCTGGGAGATCCTGCCAAGAGGGAAAGAGCCACAGGAATATTATCCCAATAAGTCTCATAGGATTTATCCTGTAGAATAGACTGGCATAGATCTCAATCTGGCATTAAGATACATTCTTCTAATACTATAGGGAGGGTAATATAGTAAACAAAGTGTACCACATATGTATGACATCGCCGCCTAATGTTAATCACCCTAATATCTAGTGGAAGACACTTCTGTCTCAGAGCAGCAGGGCAAGTTAAAGCAGTGTTTCCTTATGGTGTAGTCTTAGAACAACTATACCAGTTACTACCAGGGTCCAATCAGACAAACTGAATCTGAATCTCTGGGCCTGGGGTCTCAGAATCTTTTTGGTTTTGAGGAGCTGGGACTGAACCTAAGGCCTTGTGCATGCTAGACAAGTGCTCTCCATTGAGCTATTCTCCATTCTCCCCCAGTCCTGAGAATCTTTTATTTTGGGACAGGATTTCACTATGTTGTCTAGGCTGGCCTTGAACTTGCCATGTAGCCCAGGCTAGTCTCAAACTTAGAGATCCTCCTTCCTCAGCCTCCTGAGTACTATGATTACAGGCATGCACCACCATGCCTGGCTGAGCTTTTTTTTTTTAAAACCAGCTCTCCAGATGACTCTCCTGCATACCAATGCTGGAAGTTTAAGAATCATTTCATTGGGAGGGGGTGTAGCTCAGTATTAGAACACCTGCTTGGAGGTATGAGGCCTGATCCCTAGCACAGTACAACAACACAAAACAAAGGAATCACTTCATTAAAGGAAAGTAGCACGGAGCCGGGGATTTAGCTCAGTGGTTTCAATGCCTGCTGTGCAAGTGCAAGGACCCAAGTTCGATCCCTGGTATCAAAAAAAACAAAACAAAAAAAGGAAAGTAGCACTCTTTGATTAACAGGGAAGTTACTTCTGGCTTCTGAAACCCCAAGGTAAACAGTTTTGGAAACACATCCTGGTCCTGGTGTAATTATTCACATTGCTTCCATTTGCTCTGACAGTGGCTCCATCAGGGTAATGATGTGCAATTTACTGTTCCATCTATGACTCAACCACCCAGGAACAGACCTGAGAATGGGACACAAACAATTCTGGACTCAGGATTAGACAATGCTGAGCTCTTCCCACAGCCATCACATTTAGAGCAGAGTTTCTCTGAATTCTGCTGCAGCCACCCCCCCACAGAGGCAGAGATGAGATTCATTTATCCTCATATAGTTCAACCTTCCCCCCACTGCCTGCTAGAATTGTCAAAGAATCACAGTATTTTCAAGGAACTGAAGGAGTCAGGTCAATTAGCCAAGAAACTCCTTCCCTCCTTCCTTCCCTCCTTTCCTTCCTTCCTTCCTTCCTTCCAAGGGGCTTGTGTCACCAGCCTTTCATGAGACCCTGTCATAATTCCTAGGATGTTGATGAATTGGTGATTTCCAGAGAGAAAAGTGGAAGGGGCAGCTCATCTGCCTGAGACTACCCCCAGGGAAAACTTCCCAGGATGGAAGAACCCCTAGATTTTCCTTAACCACTGAGAATCATAGAACATTAATGCCAGAAGGGAGATTGGTTTTTGGAGTTCACCCCATTGTACAGATGAAGAAACTGAAGGTGCAGTTAAGTGACTGTTCAAGGTAACACCTAATTAGTAATTAAGGGAAGACTGTAATACAGGTCTTCTATCTCCAGACCAACGTTCTGGGTTCTAAGACCACAACCACTTGATCAGACAAGGCTTTGCCCTTTCAGTCTGGGCCTTTGTCATTTCACACTACTCAGCTTCTTGCACAGAGCTTGGTAGATATTAATTCCAGGTCCAATGAAAGTCCAAAAGGGGACAAAATATAGGCAGTAGAAAATGAATATTCAAAGGGTGCCTGCAAAGTCTGGTCAACCCACCCACGCCTCGTACAAGGTTGGACGTGACATTTGCTGAGCACCTACGAGCTGTCAGACGATGTCACAGGCGCGATCTCGGCGAGCTCAGTCATCTGCGTGCTCTGGTGCCAGACGTTCCTCCGGTCCCCCAGTGCCCCGCGTGTAGGGATGGGAAATGGCCACGACACCCGGAGAGGAGTCATCTTCTCCAGGCAGCGGGTCCCTTCTGCACCAAAGACAGCCTCCAGAGCACCCGACACACTTGTCGCGAGGTCCCTAAGAAAGTCTCTCTCCAGCCTCTCGAGGCCTCGGCCAACCCCGCCGACACCTTGCTGGCGGCCCCGCCCGTCTGGGAGACCTCTCTGCGTCACCGTGACGACCTAGTCCTCCTACGCTGGTGTCCCCCTCCTCAATGCGGCCGCCCACCGTCCCCACGCGTTCCCAGTCCTCACCTGCGGCCGCCGCGCCACAGCTTGTTGCACGCGCTCATTCACTGCCCGAAGTGCTAACCCGATGCCTAGGTCCGCCGACATACTGCTAGCTCTCCACATTCCCTGAGGACTACGTCGAGCCCAGACCCTTTGCACCTGGGGGCGGAGTTGAGGCCAACTTCCGGTCCTCCCCGCTCCTGCCTGAGGCCCAATCACCACTCATCACCGAGTTGTTTTACCCAATTGGCTTCCGCGGGCGCTGAGGCGGACGGCCTGCCCCCTGGTGGTGGCCATTTTGGGAAGGTCTCCCAGAAAGAGCGCCGAGGACGTTGGGGAGTGGGTCCGTGGTCAAGCGGGCTTCAGGCATCTATCCTAGTGCCTGGTCGGCTGCTGCTCCCTACCCTCCCGGGGCTTTTCTGAAGCAAAAACCGCAGTCTATTCTCAGGCTTCTCTTCTCTTTCAAAATGCCTTACAATTAATAGGTACTATGTACACGCACCAGCTCCCCATTATGTTATGTACTGAAAACATGCACTAATAAAAATGTTAAAATTACTGAGCCGGGGATTTCGCTCATTGGTTCTGCCGCCTGCCTTACAAGCACAAGGTCCCGAGTTCGATCCTCGATACAAAAAAAAAGTTTAAAATTACTAAAAAAATTGTCTTACAGGGTTTGCTCGTCCCTGGCTTCCAAGAGCTATAAACGACTGTACATTTTTTGGATCCAGGGACCAGAATTAGAAACTGCTAGATCAGGGGCAAAGCTTTTTAGCATGTTGGATGGTTCACGTGAGAAACTTTTTAAAAGATGTAACAGCTCTTTATAAAGACAGGGCATGATTTAAATGTATGGTTATTTTTAAATTTTTCATCCCTTAGACCAGGGCTGTCCATCGAAACAATGCGATCCACACAAGTAATTTAAAAATTGCTTGTATCTTTATAAAATGAAAACAATTTAAGGCGTATATTTACTTAACCCAATATAACCAAAATAAGATTTCCACATCTTATTTTGCAATGGCAAACTACCCCCCCCCCCCCACGGGTTGAACCTAGGCCTTCTACTGAGCTACATTCCTGCCCTTTCGACTTTTTAAATTTTTGAGACAGGGTCTCTTTAAGTTGCTAAATTGCCCAGGCTGGGCTCAAACTTGTGATCCTCCAGACTTAGCCTCTTGAGTAGCTGGATTAGAGGCGGGCACCATCACATTTGACTTTCTCCTGTTTTTTTTTTTTTTTTTTTGGTACCGGGGATCGAACTCGGGTCCTTGCACTTGCACAGCAGGCAGTGAAACCACTGAGCTAAATCCCTGGCCCCTGCTTTCTCCTTTTTAATCATATTTTTTAAAAATCTGTATACAGGCTGGGGATTTAGCTCAGTGGTTCTGCTGCCTGCCTTGCAAGCGCAAGGACCCGAGTTCGATCCCCGGTGCCAAAGGGAGGGGGGAATCTGTATACATTCTGGTTGGTCCTACATTCAGATTGCTGGCAAGGTGGTAAAAAAAAAGGTCTGTTTTGAGGCAGATGAAGTTTGTAAAGGCAGACCACATTTTTTTAAAAGTTGCACTTTGTATCCTAAATCCAGTGTTTTTTGTTTTTTGCTTTTCCTTGTTTTGAGGTAGGATCTTACTGTATAGCATAGGCTGGCCTCCAACTCAGGAGCCTCCTGCCTCTGCTTCTGGTGGGACCACAGGTGTGCACCAACACACCTGGTGAGAGATTAATTTTAAGGAAATTATTTTTGGCTGCAATTATCATTGAGAGAAAACATTAATTCAACTTAATGAACTGGGGTGCTGTTATGTTGGTGAAAGGGCTGAAGTTTGTTCTCTAGGTTTTTGTCTTGAGTGGCTTACTAAAAAGGCCTTCCTGAAAGAAGAGGCAGAATTCTCACCCTCTCATCTGTTCCACATTCCAGGATGGGAGATGGAATTCACATGTTCTGCTCTAGGAAAATAGCTCTGAGTAGTTTTCTTTTGGTGGAATTTCATGGTCGTTTACCATGGTATATGTGACAGGATTATCTGTGAACCAGGATTGCCAAACGCATTAAGAGAAACTATTCAAATCAAATTTCTAGATATGTTTCTGTTCTAACCAAAGTGATACAGATTTTAAAAAATGACAATAGCCCTTTGTGGAATGAACCTAATACATGTTTGTTGTAGAGACAGAATGTTGGAGAGAACCGGCCAGCAGGAAGTGATGGAGGAATACACAGATCATACTGCAGTGAGGGACAGAGAGATGGGATGAGCATGAAGTATCTGAACAGATGATGTACTATTTGGAAAATATTTTAAAACTATATATAACTTACAGACTGGAGAGTGTGTAATCCAGGTGACAGGTCACCACGATGACAGGTAGTTGTATCTGCTTTTAATAGATCTGGTCTCTCTTGTATGAATTACAAGGCAGAGACACTTCCAACCCTTTATCAACAAAGTGAGTATATCCTGAGGCATTACTCGGTGTAAAGGAACCCTGGGGGAGTCCAAGGTGAGCAAGAAAGGCTTTATTGTGGATTTATTTCTAGGATGCTCTACATCTCGAATAGTCTACCACCTTATGAACACAGTGATCCTAGTCTCATTATCACTTCTCATTCCAGTTTCTTTGCTTTTTTTTTTTGAGACAGGGTCTTGCTCTGTAGCCCAGGCTGGACTTGAACTTGCTATGGAGCCCAGGGTGGCCTCCAACTCAGCATCCTCCTGCTTCAGTCTCCTTAGTGCTGAGCCTACAGGACTGCCTAGCTTAGTTGTATTTTTGAATTAGTTTTATTCCACTTTCTTTGGGGGGGGGTACCGGGGATTGAACTCAGGACCTTGCACTTGTGAGGCAGGCGGTGGTTCCACTGAGCTAAATCCCCGGCCCTTATTTCACTGTTTAAAGGATTTTTTTGGAGAGTGCTGGGGATTGAACCCATAATCTGTACACTGAGCTACACCCCCAACCCCTCTCATTTTTTAAATTTATTTAATTGGATGGATAACTACATCCAATTTAACCTTTCACCCTTTTCTTCTACTTAATCCTTCAAAAATGCCAAGTCCAAAATCACTCCCTAGCCAATAACTATGTTTAATAAATCTCTCCAATAATTTGTAAGGCAAAGGAGAAAAAAGGATTAAAAGGTCAAATACCCAGAGGAATAATTTTATAAGCAATCTAAAACCTAATCTATTTATTCACTATAAATGTCATAAAGTTTTTAAAACATTCCACTTTTTTAGTCTGTGGACCTATTTATGAAAAAAAAGTACGTAGATTTTCAAGTTGTTTCCTTCTGAGCCCACTGTGACCTTTTGAAGGGATTAAAAATATATAAAATAATAGGAAATTACTGTTGCATGGTTACTTGGCTTTGAAGAGAAATGAAGAAATCATGCCACGTCCAGCTTAAAGATCACCCATGACAGCAATCCCTCCCTCCATAAAATGCTATCCCAGGGTGGCTTTGAAATGTCACCGGATATTCTTGAACCCTGGACCTGATGAGGACCTTCAGAGGTCACCTTCTCTTTCATGATGAGTGACACATAGCCACCCCAAACAGCAGAGAACATCCCTATTTCTGAAGACTAAGAAAATGCTAGCCATGCTAGCCCCTGGATTTAGTTATTTTCTATTTGCAAGTATCTATTTCCAAACTGGCCAGACTTATCTTACGTAAATTTTTTTTTTTTGGTACTAGGGATCGAACTTGGGACCTTGCGCCTCGCGCTTGTGGGGCAGGTGCCAGAACCAGAGCTAAATCCTCAGCCTATGTAAATTCTTTAAAAACACTCCATTCTTCCGGCCAATTTTCCCTACACCCCCTTTTAATTGCTCTTTTACGCCACAGGAACCACAGAATAGCAGCTGACCATTATGCAATTCAAAATGTGAGTTGTTAACTTCCCTTTGGGCTTTTCTGGGTTAACCCAGGAGGTGTGTGTATGTGTATGCACCCAACAATGTGTACATATTGGGGTTTTAACCCAGGGCTCCCAGGGCTTCACACTGAGCTGTATCTCCAGCCTTTTTATTATTTTGAGGCAAGGTCTTGCTTAGTCATTGCTGACTGGATTTGAACTTGTGATCTTCCTGTCTCGGCCTCCCAGAGTGCTGGGATTACAGACATGTCCTACCACACTTGGCTATGAATTTTATTTTTAATCACTTTTTTTCCTTTTGGTTTTAACATTTTTTTTTTCTAGCCTTTTCAAGTTTGTTATTTACTTTTGTGGTGCTAGGGATCCAACCCAGGGCCTTAGTACTTGCCAGGTGAGTGCTCTAAGTCAATCCCCAGCCCTGTTCGGTTTACTTGGAGCCCAGAACCAGACAATTCTTCTCAACAGGGCCAAACCCACTTCTTTTCTACATGCTACAATCTGCAGAAGTATGTGTTCTCATAGGGCATGGCCATGTAGTTCCTTTCTTCTCAATGTGCCATCCTACTTACAACCTTACTTTTTCTGTTTTTTCTACATTTGATTTTTCACTTGGTGGTACTTAAGTTATGTTTTGTTGCCTGTTTTCCCAGATGATACAAGTTATTTTTGAACTCACACACACATGAAGCATAGTGGTAAAGCCCTTCATCTACATTATTTCATATAGTCCACTCAACCCTTTTTTGGGGTGGGTACTGGAGACTGAACCTGGGGGCATTCTACCTCTGAGCTACATCCCCAGCCCTTGTTATTTTGAGGTAAGTCTTGCTACGCTGACCAGGCTGGCCTTGAATTTGTAATCCTGCTTCATGCGAGTAGCTGAGATTAAGGGCATGCATCCAGCTGTTCAGTCCATTTCATAGATGAAGACGTGGCAGGGTAGGGACATGAACCCTGTCTACCTCCAATTAATATCTATATATCTATTTGGTTGTTATTGTTGCTTTTTGAGAGAGGGTCTCGCTTACCCATTGAATTTCAAGTATATAATATCTGTGTATCAGGCTCTCTGACCAATAAAAAAAAGATTAGAAGACATCATAAAAAAAAATCCCAAGAGCAGCAGGGTGCAGTGGCATAAGCCTGTAATTCCAGCTACTTGGGAGGCTGAGGAAGGAGGATTCCAAGTTTGAGGTCAGCCTGGGCAACCTGGTGAGACCTTATTACAAAATAAAAAATAAAAAAGGGCTGGGGATATATAGCTCCATGGGAAAGTGTCCCTGAATTTAATCCCCAGTACCACAAAAACAAATGTATTTAAAAACAAACAAACAAACAAAAGCACACAAATGTATTTTAAAAAACAAAACAAAAAATAAAACAAGAATGCCTGGATCAGGATTGCCAGATTTAGCAAACATAGGATACCCAACTAAGTGTGAATTTCAGATAAACATATAGAGTCTGCCAAAAAAATGTACATATCAGGAAAAGAAAAACTTGTATATTTTAACACTAAATTTACTGAGACATCATGAGATTAGTACAAGTTACATTTGGCCTCTAAAATTACAAGAGGTGCTCAAAGTGGTGGCCATTAGCTTCCAGACATTTACTACTAGTATGGAGAACTAAAGTGTGTACACATTTTTTTTGCAGACTCTGTATATTTCAGTATGTCTAATGCAATATTTGGGATACATTTGTACAGAGATTACTGATTATGTATCTGAAACTCACATTTAACTCGCCATCATTACATTTTATCTGGTAATATTAGGCTTGGCAGCTTGCCAGAACAAGACTGGGACTGACCTATTCAACTAGTATCAAAATGAGTTTTGGGTCAATTGAAAATAATTCTCCCCTTTGGAGCAGAGCTGCAGCCATGTATACTTGTTGTTTTTTTTTTTTTTTTTTTTGAGACAGGGTCTCCCTATGTAACTTAGGCTGGCCTTGAACTCAGGGCAGTCCACCTGCGTCAGCATCCCAAGTGCTGGGATTGCAGGTGTGCATCACCACATCCGGCAGCCATACATTCTTTAAAATGATAAATCTTGCTGGAGATTTAGCTCAGTGGTTCCACTGCCTGCCCTGCAAGCACAAGGACCCAAGTTCAATCCCTGGCACCAAAAAAAAAAAAAAAAAAAGAGAGATAACTCTCTACAGCATCCACTAGGAATTATGCTATGTTTGAAAATTAAGGCTTTTATTTTGGTGTTGTTGTTGTTTGCCTATGTTGACAATGGGAGTGGATTTTCGCCTCAATATATTTTTAGGGAGAACTTGATTCACTAACCAGGATCTCTGATTTCTTTATATCACCTATCTTAATATCACTTATCTGTTGCTAAATTTTACTTTAACAAAAATGTGAACACAGACTAATTTTATTTAACAAGATCGAAAATAAAACAGACAAATTCACACAAGGCCTTTTGTGTTGTCCAAACAATTCCTCCAGCTATTGACCCAAGGCAATTAATCCAGTGGTATAATTTATAGAATGATTAATATAACAAGAATCATTTCTCAGTTACAAGGGAGTCATTAAGCCCTTGGGGCTCTTTGAAAAAATTACTTTGACTTTTCAGTCACCAGCCTACACAAAAGCAGAGAGAAAAAGGAATGAAATGGAAATACAAACAGAAACTGATTGGCTTCATGCCAATCCCTATCAGAACATCCTCTTTTACAAGGAAACAACAAAATAATGGCTTGAACCCTACTGAATAGAACCAAGAAGTAGTGGTTTATAGACAGAGTTGCTATTTGCCAAGATAAAGTTTATCTTTAATCAAACTTAAATAGAGAGTCAAACTCAGTAAATATGACCATCTCACTCTCACTACTTACTCTTTAGATGGTAAAGTTCTCAGTGCTGAAAGACACACAGGCCCATAGAAGCAGCCACAGATTTATAAAACATCTCCTTTTTGGGGATCAATATATTGCTAAGCTTCATTAGTGATTCCTTCTTCAATGTGATCACAGGTCCCTCCAAATCCATTTTATTTTAGTTATATAAAAATTATTAACAAACTTTGGCTCCCTTACAAACATTCTGTCCTTATATTTAAAAAAGTGATTAAGAACAGTACTGAATAGTAATCACTTCTGTAAAGTTTAATGCATGAGAAACATTCCATCAAGGTGACTGTTCCTTGGAAAATCCTACAAAAACTATATTTTATAAAGTTACTTATTCTGATAAAAGTTCCACTTATAAATAGCAGCCAATACTTCACTGCCTACAAAATTGCAGGCTATCACATTTTACATGTTCAGAACTCAAATGGTTTAAGATTAGATTTTCTACTAAGTGTTAAAAAGACAAAGTCATACAGACACGTCAGTTATCCTGTGATAAGGAGACAAATGACTTCCGTGATTTTACCCCTCAGACAGGTGCCCACAACTACTGGACTGACGCTGCTCAACAAGACCACATTTCTATTTTTTGTTTAAAGAGGAAGTGACATTAACTGGGGGTGGGGGGTCACAGCAGGACTTCACTGAGGCTCATTTGTGGTCAAGGGACAAGCAATGAAGGATGTTGGTATGAGAGAGACTTTCAAGTTAAGAACCTGAGGAAAGCACTCTTCGGAGGTGAGATAAATTTACCGTAGAATCTACTATGGTGAAGTAGTGTTTGCTGATGCCCAGGTGGCAAGAACTCCAGGGAAGCGGACGTCCATGTGGACAGGGGATGCTGGGGCGCTGCGATGTCCTAACAGGTGATGGACCGCACTGAAGGGGAGAAAGATGAGGATGTCGTACAGGGCATCCTATGCTGATCTTGGGACACACTGTTACTCAGTAGTGTTTTGCTGCCAGTGCCAAGTGTGGTGGGGACCAGCAGTTTGAAAATTCTCAGTGCCAGGAATCAGAATGGAGAAGGGCAGTGTGTGAAGAGGAGTTAACACCATGTATCTTCTAGGCAAGCTGAAAGCTGCTCAGCTTCCTGCCAAGCCTGGTGCCTCTTAGGACCAAACTGGCCTGAGTATTAGGACCATTTGAAGAACCAGAAGCCTGGGCATGGAACCGAAAATGAGGTGGGAATTGCTGCCAGAAAGTATTGTTCATAGTATTCACCTAGGGAAGAGGGGTACAGTAGGTTGTTTTTGCTTTTACTTTTGGTGGGGTTAATAACAAGGGCAAATCTTATACCTGAGCTGGTCATGGTTATTATGCAGGGTAAAATTATGCTTGCAAATTCACTCTAGATGGCTGTCCTCCACTTACCAATTCTGTGCATTATTCCTGGGATGTATGGGTTGAATTCCCTACCCCAACCCCAATTTCAATATAAAAACCTTTCTTTTGTATTTGCTCTCCTCATCCCAAATCAAAATAAAACTCTTTGAATGGATTCTGATGCTTTCCTCACAAGCCCAAGGCCTTGGGCATGAACTCTGCCTTGAATCCACAGAGCTGTCTCCAGAGATTTAGTATCAGTTTGACCCGGAGTGGCTGCATGGAGCTCTGGAATTAACATCACAAGCTACTCAGAAAGGCTCCCTTCAGCACTATGTCAGACCCCTGACACAAGCCATGGCGTTATGACTAGAAAGCCCTTAGCTGACCCCTCTTCCTCCCTGGAGAATCTCCTCCACAAGCATGAAGACACTGTACTCCAGGTACACACACAATTTGCCAAGCAGATACAACAGTGGCTAGCAAGTATAGTGATCCCATGTTAGCAGTTAGGAAGACATTTGATTATTTGTTCCTGTCTTCTTGATGCTGAGTGGAACCAACAGACAGATTACTTAAGAAGAAACCAAATCACAGATTAGGTGAAAAGTTTCAAAAAGACTTGAGTGGTGGGAATGAAGCCCTGGCTCTGGAAATATAGTCAGAACCACCACCCTGAGCCCCAGGGAAAAAGAGCGTAGTGTATAGAAAATCTTGCAAAACCTAGCACCAGTTCTTCCTTACGAGGGCTCCAAAGCAAGCAAACAAAACCTTGCCTCTGAAATGACCACCCCTTATACTGCAGCTATTTCTTCTGCTCAGCTGTGAGCCCTAAAGGCAGGGGTGAGAAAGGCAGACTGCATATTTCCAGATAAGAGGAATCAAATCTCCTGGAGGCAGCAGCCCACCTCTCTCCCACTGCTTGGTGACAGCATTCCTAAGCCACATTCAGTGAAAGAATCGGTGCCTGGAGGTCAGAGGTCAAACTCAGGGTTTACAAATCTTAGCAGAAGCCACGTAACCTACTCAACTGAATAAAAGCCCAACCATTGATCCCTACCCTCCCTTCCCAGGAAGGGGAACAGATTTAAGTCAATTTCTTCTTTTTTATAACAACTTGAGGAGTCCAAGAAGGTAGTATGGGAGGAAGGAGCATTCGGTTTCATCTTAAAAAATAAAGATCTCTTTAAGTGTCATCTGAGGTTGTGTACTTTCTTTTCTTCAGTTCTCCTTCGTGGCGGCCTCCAAGGGCTCATCTCCTAAGTCAAGACTCAGCTTGTCAGCCAGCCCCTCAAACTGCCTGCCCAGGCCGCCTGCAGAGTCCAGGAACATGTTGGGGATGTCTTTGCCAAAGTAAATCTTGCTATTGGAAGCAATGGCCTTGTACTTCATCAGCTGCAGATATTCTGGGGTCAGCTTCAGCTGTGACCAACAGTAAAGAAGGCTTAGGTAGGATGAATATTTGAGACAATCTGGGGCGGCACCTCTTCTATTTTTACATGGGGAGAGACTTTCTCAAAGAAATAAATATGCCCCCCTCTACTCTCAGGCCTCCCATAATACAAGTAATAGGGAAGTCATTTCTCTCCAAGAAAGTAGTCTAAAGCCTTCAAGATAGAGTGACAGTTTTCAAAGTTTCCATGTTTAACATAAAAGGGAAACTTCTACAAAGGCCTGTAGTCACAGGGAAGCACCTGTCCCAGACAGTACAGGGGTCCTCAGGTGCAGCCATGACTCTGATCGTGGTGGTTATCCAAACACTGGATGGATGTCAGCACACACACCCACGCCAAAGCCACACTGTCCCCGTTACCTTATTTGCTTCAGCTATTTTCAGGGCAGTGTAGCACTCAGCATCGGCCTTTGCCTTCTCCCGGGCCAGAAATGCAGCATCTGCGGGTAGGAGAGGGTCCAGGGACCATCAGGAGACCATGGTGTGTGGCTGGCAGTGTGGCTCAGTAGTAGAGCACCTGCCTCACCTGGATGAAGCCCTGGGTTCCATCGCTAGCACCACCCCCCACCCCCACCCCCAGACCAACCAACCACCCAACCAAACCCAAAGAAGGCTATGCTCTGGTCCCTGTAACTTTTCTCCTGCTAGCCTCTGTGACCTTGGGGAGATTGCTTTTTCCCTTGTTCTCTGGTTTCCTCATTCACAAAGTTGGGAAAAGGCATTTCTTTTCCTGTTATACTAGTTTTAAGGATTAACCAAGAAAGAAAAAGTGCTCTGAAAGCATCTCTTTAGGATAGGGACTCAAGCAATACTGTTGCTATGGCTAAAATCATGCACTTTAACAGTATTATCTATACAAGCCTGCCACCCAAGACACCTATTGCGTGTGCTTCTTTCTTTCATAGTTCCATGTCTGTGGAGCAACATGGTGGTGGCCCATGCCTCAGGCTCCAATCCTAGAACTTGTCTACCTCAGCCCTCTCATGCTACATAACTCAAAGAGAAGCTCAAAGAAGGCTCTGAATATGGCCAGAACTCCATAAATGAATACCATAAATGTAAATAATAAAGTCCCTCTCCAAGTCCATTTCCTTTTTATTTTCACCAATCATCTTTAAAAGATTCTGATTAGCAGTGCTTAAGCTGGCATAATTCCGAGAGAGTTAGATCCTGTGGTCCAGACCAACAGCTCTGGACACAGACCTACGCAAGCAATGTACTTCCCTACTCCGCTCTGAGTCTGGCTTTCGGTTAAGCAGAGGCAGAAGGTGTAGTATCTACCCCTTGCCTTGGGAATAAGGCCAGCCTCATGTGAGCAGCGTTTGCAGCAGGACACCTGGGGAGGAAGGCAGTGTGTGTGCAGGGCTCACTGCATGCCTTTGGCATGGCCCTGCTGCTATGTCATGACTCAGCTGCCACAGCACCCGATAATGTGGGTATATAAGAAATAAAATGTGAGGGCCGGGGATTTAGCTCAGCAGTTGCGCAAGGATCTGAGTTTGATCCCCAGTGCCAAAAAAAAAGAAATAAAATGTGTTGTTTTGCTAAGAGCTCGTAATGGGGAGCTACTGATCTGTAAAATCCTAATTGGCTCCTCAGTGGCCCCACCAAGCCTCACAGGCCCTGTATGAGTACAACTGGACATAACACTCAGGGGGCCGAAACTTCCCGGAGAGTCCATTTCTGTCCTGGAATTTGCTGGAGAGAAGGCACCACATGAAGTAAAAGGAGGATGGTGGGAAGGAGGGAGAAACTACAGGTGAATGATATTCAGAAAAGATAGCAAAGAAAACACTTCAGCTCCAGTCTCTCAGTGCTGAACAGTCTTTGGAACAACTTACTACCTGCATGGACCCTGAGCAAAGACTCAAAGATCATGAAATTTGCACCGGCTGACTTTTGAGGAGAGAAGGGTAAGGAAAGGGGAGTGAGCTGCCACTGTGGCCCAGTCTCTGAGTTTGCTCCCAGTGCTCGGAGGCCCCTGTGAGGCTGCGAGCTCCAAGCCAGCAAGGACCATGATTTCCTTTCTTTAGGCCCAGCAAAGCGATTGTGTGCACTCAGTATCTGCTTCTCAAAGGAAAAGGATCCCTCAGAAAAGCACTGGCACCAGCCTGGCCCAAGACGTCAGCAACCCAGTCTCAGCAGAGACTAAAGAGCACGGGAATGACCCTGTCACCTGCAAAACTCAGGCATCAATGACACTTCCGCTCACCTTCAATTTCTGAAATCCTTTTCTCTGTCTCCTTCTCCATTACCTTCTGCCCATAGGTGATTTCTGCAACCTGAGCCACTTTTTCTGCCTCTGTGTATATGAGGTTGAGGAAAGACTTAGAGCAATGATACTTCAACTGTCCGCTGATTTCCTCCTTCACCTGAGTGGCAGGGATGCTCACAGGGAGCGCTGCTGTCCTCAGAGGGCGGCAGCACCAGGCATGCATGGGCGAGCACAGCAGCACACCATCACGAGATGGTCACAGGGGAGACTGGACCAGGGAGCACGGCTCTTCCTCTGAGAATGGTGAGGAAGAGCTCTAACTTCTAAATCACAAGGGTTCTTCTTTCAAAGGGATGTTTTGTTTGCTTGGTTTTTTTTTTTTGGTACTGGGGATTGAACTCAGGACCTCGAGCTTGCTAGGCAGGCACTGTGCCACTGAGCTAAATCCCCAGCCCTGTTTGCTTGTTTTTTTGAGACAGGGTCTTGCTATGTATTCTAGGCTAGCCTTGAACTCACCGTGATCTTCCTGCCTCAGTCTCCCAAGCACTGGGATTACACAAGAGGGCCACCACACCTGGCTCCCAAAAGAGTATTTTAAGGACTTTAAGAAGCACTTCGCTTGGCTGGTGGTCTTACGGTGTAGTGATCGGGAGCACAGGTTCTACAGCCAGAGTCCCTTGCTCGGAACTCCAGCCCCCCCTTACTCCACATGACTGTGGACCTGTTTTTTAACCCTCTGTGCTTCAATCCAACAGGATATGGTAATGACAGCATCTCCTTCACAGGGTGGTTGTGGGGACTGAGAGCCTTCATGCATCAAGTGCTCAGAGAAGCACATGGCTCACAGTAAGTGTGAAGTATGTGTTGGCCATTATTTTAGGAATTAACAATGAACAGGAAAGGCTCCTTCCACCTAAGAGGGAGGTGGAAACTCTAAACTCACTACCACTGGCCATGATCTGACACTTTCAACTTTGCTTCTGGGGTCATGAATGCCAATCCTGTGTGGTGGAAATGTGAGAGACAGGATGGTCTAACCACACATGGGCCTTCCCTGCCTCCTCCCACCAACCCCAGCCCTTCTGCCTCAAAGGGGAGCACAGAACCATAATCAGACCAATGAGGGCTTTCTTCCGCTCTGTCTCAGCCTCCTTCTCCACCACCTTCTGTTTCTGAGCTGCAATGAGAAGCTTCGTCTTCTCGCTTTCCCTGAATGGGAAGAAAGTATGCAGCCGTGAGAAAGCTCCTGAGGCACTCACTATCCCTGGAGAGCCACTCCTCTGTAGGGACAGGCACACTGGCTTCCTGCTCTCTCCCAGAAGGCTGCATATGGGCCCAGGCAAACAGCGATCTGGTGCCCAGAAGTGCCGGTGTTGAAGGCTTGGTTCCCAAAGCAGCAGTGTTCAGAGATGGGGCCTTCAGGAGATGCCTGGCTCATGAGGGCTCCAATTTCATCAGTGGGTCAGGCTCCTATGGGTCATTGTGACATAGGTTTTGGGGAAGGACTGTGTTACAAAGGTGAGCTCTCTCTGCTCTGCATCCTGGCTGCCAGGAGAGGGCCGGTTTGCTCTATCACCTGCTCCTGGCCATGACATTCTAACTCACCTCACCCCCCAAAAAGCTAATGTCACAGTGACAGAGAGCTAACACAGCTTTTCTTCGCCTACAGGATATCTTATTTGTGGGAAATAGAACCTAACAAAATGGCTGGATACAGCAGCATTCGTGCCTATAGTGCCAACAACTCAGGAGGCTGAGGTGGCAGGATCACTTGAGCCTAGGGCTTCCAGACTAACATGGACAACACAACAAGACCCAGTCTCAAAGCCAAACCCAGCCAAAAATGAAATGCATTTTAGTAAGCTACACATGCCTGTGCACTATCTTTCTCTCATATCTCCATCTCTGGCATGAGCCACTGAACACAGCACACAGACCTTCGCCTTTTAGATGCACTGCTGCTTTCTAGGGCTCCCCTGTGGTCTCAGTCAGTTAGGGAGCCCAGCAAGGGCCCTGATCGCCAGCCCAATCTGACAGTGCAACAGGTTCTATTAGATGCTGAAGAAAGGGAGAAACTGCAGGGCCTGGCACAACCGAGGCAAAGGGCATACTCACATCAGCTCGTAGTTTCTGCGGATTGCCTCAGGGATATTGGGCTTGGTCACCCGCACAGCCTGGAGAAGGACGCAAACAGCAGCTGATGAGAAAGTCAGAGTGCTAAGGGACATAAATTCTCAAAGGTCCTAGACTCTCCTGTGCAAAAAGGACATCCCTTGCAAGAGAAGATGCAATGTCATGGAGAGGGGACTCTCCCACGGTGGCAAAGCTTACTTGGATGACAAGCCCAGGGGCCATGGAGGTCAGGTCCTGTTGCAAAGCCAGTTTGAGATTTTCATCAATCTGATCTGGAATCAAGAAAGACATAGAAAAAGAACTGTTATACCCCTTGCAAGGTGGAAGCCATGGTACAAGTGGGAACACCAGCTCAAGAATGTACCTGACAGGCAAAAGGTTTTCGCAAAGGTGTGTACTTAACGAAGTCCAGAAGCCTAAAGGTTTGCCAGGCTGCTGCAGTATACACTTAAGCAGCCTTGACATAAGCAACATGTAAAAGTATTCTTTCGGTGGCCACAAGGTAAAAATTACCTTTGTTGTTAAAATTGCCCTACAAAAGACTGAGCTTAGAAAAAGAAGAATCCTAGCACATTCCTGGAGTCAGGCAGCAGCCTTTTCCTAGATAACTGCAGCAAAAGAGAAGGCAGGCCCACAGTTTCAATGGAGCAGGAAGAATAGCTATGTAGAATCTTCTGAAAATAGGTGAGCAATTAAATCTAGTAATTTTGGAAGCTTCCAAAAGATAGACAGACACTGAACAGCTCCAACAGACTGAAAATGAAGCCAGGCTGGGATGTCTAAATAGAACCACCTCCCTCACTGTCAGCTGCTATCTGCTTTAAGTGGTCATTTCTCATTCAGCTGTGCCCAAGGAAGGCTCTCTGAGGAATAGCAAGTCTACTTCCTTTTATAGATGCCAAAACTGAAGTCCACAGAAGCCAATTACAGTCAAAATTCAACCTGTTGACTGGGGTATAGGTCAGTGATAGAGCATTTCCCCAGTATTGTGGGAAAGGGTCTGGGTTCCATTCCCAGCAAGGCAAAAGAAGCTGTTTAATTACCATGCTTTGACCATTAGGATTTTAAAACAGTGTTTTCTTCAACTGTCCTACCACCAAGCAAGGAATTGTCATGTTTCTACATGTAGGTTAAGTTTCCACAAACCTCTTGGCACTGAGGAAGAAATGCCATAAAGTCAGTCAGAACCTCCCAACTGATGTGGGCCTAACAATATGACAACTATAAATACGTACTATTCTATTTTTTTCATAAAAATTCCATTTTAGTTTTCTTTCCTCTTTAAAAAATTTTTATATTGTGGTGCTAGTGATTGAACACAGGGCCTTGCACGTTGGACCTGTGCTCTACCACTGAGCTATACTCCCAGCTCCTAGACAAACTTTATGTAGCCTTATAGCCAGCCCTGGTGATACATGCCTGTAATCCCAGTACTTTGAGAGCCTGAGGCAGGAGGACAGCAAGTTCAAGTCCTGTCTGGGCAAAATAGCAAGACCTTGCCTCAAAATAAAAAAGGGCTAGGGATGTGGCTGAGTGTAAAGGCCCAGAGTTCAATCCCCAGTAACCCAGAAAAAAAAAGGCCCAATGATCTGTTCTCTACCTAAGTTAATAACATAGTCATTTATCAGACCAAATTATACCTAGGCACAGTAGAAACCCATGGCCCTGGTGAAGTCTAGAAGAAATATTTGGTACAGTGTTTCAGTGCTACTACTAACACATCATTCATATACTAGGGGGATGCTGACAAGCACCAATTAAGTTATGTTCCTAAGTAAGCACAGGGGTTCTTCAGGTTGTCTTCTGAGCAAGTATTAGAAAATACTCTTATAAAATGGACAAAAAGGAGGCAGTAGAGGAAGAAGTGATGAAGGTTATGCAGTCACATCTAAAGCGAGGTTGTGGGCATCCTGGGGGAGGGAACTGTAGAAGCAGCTCCTGAGCTCAAAGGCATCATTAGAGACACATTTCCTCCATGGATGCACTGATTCTAAAACAGTGGTTTCCAGCAAGAGTGTAATTTAGAGAGAGAAAAAAAAAATTCAGAGCAAATACACTTTCTCAGCTCCGCTGCATAAGCTTTACACTTCACTAAGTTACCAAGTTTATCTGTAAGACAGTAAGGGTTTGAATGCAGAACAATTAGTATTTTAATTTTCTCTTCAGGGACATTAGAGATCCTTTGTCTTTTTTTGTTTCAAATGTTTTAAAATATTCATTTAATGGCACAAGTCCTAAAACAACAGCCAGATAGAAAACTAGTATTTCATAAAATTCTATTAGTTTGGGGTAACAAAAATCAGCAGTGAATTCACCAGTTTTTTTCTTGAAGACACAATGAATCCAAAAGTAACAAAAGAACATAAAAACCTTCAAAATAAATTTAGATTCATTTTCTCCTGTAGAAAATTATAAGCAATTTTGATGATTTCCTAAATCTTAAACAGTGCAAAAGGTTATTTGCTTAATTGTAATGATAGGGTACATCAATGATTTCTCCTTCCAAAACCATTCTTGGACTAGGGATGAGGTTCAGAGGTAGAGCACTTGCCTAGTATACATGAGGCCCTGGGTTTGATCCCAGCTCTGGAAAAAAAAAAAAAAAATCCTGCTCAGGGTCTGTTTTATGAGAATTCCTAGGAAAAATCATTTTCCAGTGCTAGTTTCAAGAAAAATTCATTAACTTTTAGCACTGGCAATTAGGAAATTTCTAGAATCAAGTTTATTATTTTTTCTACTTATTTTATTTTTTTTGTACTGGGGATGGAACTTGGGACCTTGCACATGAGAGGCAGGCGGTAGAACCACTGAGCTACATCCCCAGCCCTTTTCTACTTATTTATTTATTTTTTTTGGTACCGGGGATTGAACTCAGATCCTTGCGCTTGTGAGGCAGGTGGCAGAACCACTGAGCTAAATCCCTGGCCCTATTTTCTACTTATTTTTAATACATGTTTGCAGTTCATAGTTTACATTCACTGCGGTAGAAGCAAGTTTATTTTTTTGTTTGTTTGTTTGTTTTTTTGGTACCAGGGATCGAACTTGGGTCCTTGAGCTTGTGAAATCACTGAGCTAAATCCCCGGCCCAGAGGCAAGTTTAAACAATAGTACTGGGGATTTAGCTCAGTAGTTCCGCTGCCTGCCTCAAAAGGGCAAGGTCTCAAGTTTGATCCTCCGTACTAAATAAACAATCGTACAAAGAAGTTGTAACAATTACTGAAATGTTTTCTTCCTTCGCAGCTGAAAAGGACCAGAGGTGTCTACTTAAAATATGTGGATCCTTTTGTTTAGAGGGACAGAACACACACACACACACAAACCCTGGGAGCTGTAAGAAGCTATGCTCTTACTCCCTTCTAGAATTAACTGTGAACAATATCGTTCTTATCACCTATCCTTAGGGCCCTTTGCTCAGAGTGGCACGGGACACTGAGAACATGGAAGAAAAGAATACTGAAGTGACAGCTCGGAGAGGAAGGTTCTAGTTTCAGCTTTGCTATCAACTAGCACCTAGCTTTGTGACCTTCTTGCTCTGGGCCTCACTGACAGGTAGGAGAGGAAGGTTCTAGTTTCAGCTCTTCTATCAGCCAGCTCTGACTTTCTCACTTTGAGCCTCTTCAAATGAGGATACTGGGTCACATAACCTCTAAGTTTCTTCTGGAAACGACACTGTCTTCAGTATAGGATATTTTAGAGACAGTGAGAACACATTTCCCTTCCAGTCCCAATTTGAGCCAGAAGTGAATACTCTCTTCCACTGTTATTCCTGTGCTCCCAGCCCGATCACCCCAAAGATCTTCTTGTACTGTCACCCACATTTTCCACGAACACCCTTGTGACCTGTTCCTGTGCACCACCCATCCTATTCTGTGGCAGCTCAGGACCAGGCAGTGAGAAGACACAGGGCTGCTAAAGCCTGGCATGACTGGGGGATGTGTTACCGAACAGCTCGATGTAGACCTCCTGAAGTGTGTGGACGCTGCAGAACTGGTTCAGCTCGTGGTGGATCTTGTTGAAGATGAGGGCCTTGTCGTAGTCAGCAGTGTAGTTCTTCACTATATCGTACACTGGGAAAGGTGGGGAGAGAGGCTCAGCTAAGAACATGCAAGACTCCATTCTCAAACTTCCTCTTTTTTTGGGGGGGGTACTGGGGGATCAAACTTGGGACCTTCCGCTTGCAAGGCAGGCAGCGGAACCACTGAGCTAAATCCCTGGCCCCTCAAAACTTCCTCTTAAACAGCAGTCCTCCCTTCCTGAGATGCCAAGACAGACTGGGGGAAAAGTAGGCCATTGGGAGGGGACACTGAAGACATACCTGCATTTGGGACCAGGAAGTTCACCACTTCAATTCTATCAAAGTAGATCATTACACCACCACTATTGGAGGGAGAAGGGGCAAAGATGTCACCAAATAAGCCCTGGAATATGATGCAGTCTCCTAAGATGTGTGACTGGCAGAAAAGAAAAAGCATTTGTGGAACATAGGCATCTTGGATCTCCAAGAAAGAGATCTGTAGAGCTCCTGAGGAATGATACCTCCAAAAACACCTCCACATAGAGACAAGTGAGACCTTTAGGGTTCCAGTAAGAAAAGAACAGTTCAAATGAATCAGCAATGTCTTTTGATGAACACACGTCACTGTGGAACTTTATGGTCAGTGTTTCTCACTTTAGCTTCACCATCACTTTAGTTCAAATATTAATTATAAAAAGATTGATCATGGCACTCTGGCCCTTCACAAACCCAGGATCTTTTCTCCTGCACTTTACTGCCTCAGCAAGCCAGAACACAGCAAGGTGGGGGATAGAGAATTTGGTAAAATCGCCAGGACACTATGTCACTGTCTCTTCCTGTAGCCAACCAGGCAGCCAGCCAGCCAGTCATTCCTTTTACTTCCTGGGGCTTAACAGCTCTATTCTGGGCACCTTACCTGGTCCCACAAGGTACATTCTTCACCTCATCTGTCTGAAGTGTGGTCTGGGAACAGAAGAAACATCAGATGCTGTCAGGTGGGCAGTGACAAAGTAACTTCATATTCAGAATCCCAAATGCCCCCATCCTTGTTTACTTATTTGGATTGAGCTTTGCCTATGTTACACAGGGATATCCCATCTGACCTTGCTTCCTTATGTTTTTTTTTTTTTTTTTTCGTACCAGGGATTTTTTTTTTTTTTTTTTTCGTACCAGGGATTGAACTGGGGACCTTGAGCTTGCAAGGCAGGTGGCAGAACCACTGAGCTAAATCCCTGGCCTTCCTTCCTTATGATACAGGAGAAAATATAACTCCCAACCTGTTAGATGCTAGAAACGCCATTTGTGCCCCTGAAATAGAAGAATGAATCCTAAGGAGGTTAAGAATAGCAAAGATTTTATTGAGAGAGAGCTCCTGAGAGACAGGAGGGGACCCGAAAGTGGGTTGCCACAGAGGTCATTTCCAGGAATATTTTATAGAACAAAAATCACAAGGTCGGTACAAAACCACGAGGTGGGTAAAAATGTGGGTCAAATAATCAACTAATAAGATTACACCAGTGGTACAAATGGATCTCATTACTTTCATTGTATTTTTACCAATAAAATTAATAAAAAGCCATCTGATGGGACAGTCATGCAGGTACCAGTGGCAGTTCAAGCTGCACGGTGGTGAGACATTAGAATTACAGCCTGGCCCCATGGTGAACTTGTTAAGGAATCTTAAGACTTTACTTTTCTATTTGCTAGTTTTAAAACAGCAGATTTCTTACTTAACCTGCTTGGCCCATTCTCTGGATTACTGTGGGACTCAAATGAGATAATGTATCAGAATGCACTGTGGAAGCCATAAAGCATGCTAAGAGGGAGAAAACACTCATGAGGAAAGTGACTGTGAGGGATGTTTGCTATCTTGCTGGGTTAGTTTAAAAGTTATTCTTGAAATCTTTTGATTCTTCTTACCTGGACCTACTTCATAGATGTCTACTTTGACTTAGCCAAGCTTAAATCTGTCACAACTAATCTTGATCCTATTTTTGAAGTCATAACCCTGCCCAATCCAACTTTCTTCATCCTTCCAAAAAAATTAAGCTCACGTTTCAGAAGTTCAAGTAAGAACCAGCAAAACTGCCATATTTTATTTCTACGTATCATGGTAGCTTGTGACAAGACTTTTCCTGTAGTATGTGTCCAACCTTTTGGGTTGCCTAGGCTGCATAGAGTGAAGAGGAATTGTTTTGGGCCATATATAAAATATATGATATGGTTAATAAAGATAAATAACCTTTCTTTTAAAAAAATATTTATTATAGTATTAAAAAAGAGGGCAAGTGACCTGTGGGCTGCATATTGGACACAGTAATAGATTCTTCTCTGGGTTTGTCCTGAAGTGAAGAAACAACCCCCACTTCTGGCTGATGGGCCAAGTGAAGCAATGACTCCATTCAGCTATTTCGGGAATCAAGTAAAGCCGGGGATTTAGCTCAGTGGTTCCTCCACCTGCTTCGCAAGCGCAAGGTCCCGAGTTCAATCCCCAGTACCCAAAAAAAAAAAAAAAAAAAATCAAGTACATTTCCAAGAGTTTAATCAGTCTCTGAAAAGGCATTTTCCTCACCCAGTGGCTCAATAATTTCAAACCATGTCATAATCAACAACCTAAACGTGCAGTCACCCCACCATTGCATATCGGCCAAATGTACCTGCACGGACTTATATGACGTGATGAAAGGAAGCATGAGATGGAAACCAGGACCGCTGGTGGAAGTCAGCAGTGCACCGCCTCTGCAGAAGGGAAGGGAGAGGCTGGGTCAGTGCAGAAAGAGGAACTATCGGGACAAGGGCGTAGGGGCCACCTTTCTCTCCAGTCTTCTAAGCATTCAACATAAGAGTGACAGGTGCCAAGCCACGTACACAGATCCCTTTCTTCCTTTCTCACCTCAAACCCTTATATTCTAGGAAGCCCAACAGTAAAACAGAAAACCATTAGTCACACTTTTGCAACAAGAAAAACATGCACACATGCTAAGGGAAATAAAGATAGACCTCTTGGCTACACTCAAGAAAATTTTACTCTGTCGTATCAGTTTATTTTTTGGCAATCCATTAGAGCAGTTACACGCAGTAATACAATTATCAACACAATTATCAACTGGCCGTGGTACTACTGAGTCCAGGGACATGTCCAACACAAAAGAATTTTAAGTACACCTTATTTTTTTGGTGGTGAAGATTGAACCTAGGCCCTCACACATGTTCCATCACTGAGTGACATCCCTAGCTTCAGTAAGAGTTTTAGAACTTGCCATTAGCAATCCAGAGATAAATATCACAAGGCACATTTAAGAAGGGTTTCATAAAGACTTCAAGCAAAACCTCGGTCAAAGTTATAAAACGAAAGCAACTCAAGATTTATAAATGCTTCTTTGCTTTATATTATGAAGTCAAAAATATTTTTTTTCTTTTTTTCCCAGTACCAGGGATTGAACTCAGGATCTTGCACTTGCAAGGCAGGCCCGGTGCCACTGAGCTATTCAAAAATAATTTTTAAAAAGCAATAAAATAAACAGTGATATAATGTGCTCTTTCACTGTAAGGAGTACTGTTCTAAGGATTGTCTTCATTGACACAAATCAATCTCCAGGACCTTTCATTTTTCCTGAAATGTTCATTTTAGAGGAACCTCCCAAATTAGAGTGGGCTGTATTCTGAAACTGCCATCAAGAACTGGGACTAGAAGCTTTTGAAAGGGTAACCTGGTAGTGTGGAACCAAGACTCCCAGAAGGATGCAGGAGACAATATTTCAGGAATGGTCTGCAAGAAATGCTGGTTCCTTCAGGCTTGTCTCTAAATCTATAAACATATTTATCAGCATCATGACAAAATATGAAGGTTTTAAATTACACACACACACACACACACACACACACGGTGCACACGCTTTGGTCAATGACATAAAAGCTCAATCTAAAAGGACTGCTCTATTCAATAAAATAGAAACACAGATATTCAGCAGATTCTGCTGAGAGTCATCTAATAGGAAACTGCAAGCTTCTCCTGTCTTGCCTTACCTGTAATATACTCCAATATGTCCCTCTTCTATCTTGTGCACAGCTGAGAAGAGAGATGCACACAAGAAACTGGAAGCCACCGCCACAACTGCTCCCAGCTGAGCCATCAGGCAACTTTTATCCTAGGGAAAAGATATGGGAAAATGTGTGGTCTGACACGAAGGAGACAAGCTATGCCAGTGAGAGGATGTCACCAAGCTGAGCTTCCTGAAAGTGATTCATACAGTCAGTGGTAGTAGGAGCAAAAGGACAGATCCACAACGCGTTTCTTGCTTGGTGTCAGTCAACGTTTCCATTCGTTAATTGGAATTATACTCTCCACTGCTCTGAAGAGGCGGCAGCTCCAGATACAGCCTTTGCCCTAGGGAGAAACGGTGCCATCTGGGCAGAGTCTAGAACACAGCTTTCTCTTCCTGTGTACATGAATGTGCTGTCCCTAGAGCCACTTGTGCTAGTAAAAGGAAGAGGCAGCTGCACTACGCTGGCCCAAATTACAGAGGATGCCAAATGACAGGCAGTTGTGGCTGTGTAATTCTGGTGAGAGCCTCCCAGGTCTAATTGCTGCCATTTCAAAAGAAACCACCGTTTCCTCCATTCAGACGCTAGAGAGACAGAGACAGCAAGCAGCCAAGCCGGGTTTGATTCTCTGGCCTTTCATCCAACTTCTCAGCTATTCCTTTGGACCTAGAGGGGACAGGGTTCTACGGAAGACAGAATCCACACTCCCAGCTCCTTTTCGTGAAGGAAAAAGGGGAAACAGGGAGTGAGTGCCCCAGGCCGGGACGCTGCGGGATCCTGAGTCTAACTGCTTTCAGGTACCAGGATGCGAAGAGCTGGCATCTAGGTAGAAACTCACTTCCTGGCCACTGGAAGATCTGGAAAAACTCTGGCGACTGACAGCAAAGTTGGGCCGCGTGCGCCCGGGCCATGAGCGCGGCTCTGCCGGGCTGGGCGCAGAGGTCTGCTCCAGGGGCACAGCCCCGTCCTTCCGCTTGGGACCCTCTGGGCCGCCCCCGCCCACCTCGCGCCCCTTCCCTCGCACCCCGCCAGCCTCACTCGGGCCTGCCTGGGGGCTCGCGCGGAGGGGACGGGCGGAAAAAGCTTCTTCAGGTCCCGAAGCGGCCCGGCGGACGGAGAGAAGCTGCTGGGGCCGGTACCCCGGAGCCCCGCGACTCAACTCGGGTTTGGAGCTGCAGCGAGGCCTGGAGCGCGCACTAAGGTGCGGGGGCCGCGTACCAGGTTGTCCCTTCAGGCGTTCCGTACTCGTCCGAACCCGCTTGCAACCACAGAAACCACCACACACTACTTAGTACACTACTTCCTTCCGGGCCCGTCGCTCCGGTGACGCCATCAATTCACGCGAGAAGGCTACACCCCCTTACCTTGGCCTCTGCATCAGCTCCGCCCCTCGCAGTCCGAGTGGTCAGTGTCTACCGACGGCCGCGAGAGGGCGCACGTGACCGGTCAGGATTTCTGGGCCGGGACGCCGACCCGGGCTGGGGAACAGTCAGTGGCAGGACTCGTGGCCCTAGTTGTCACTCCCCGAGGTTTTGATTTGGGAGATTGCTCTGGCTTTCCCCTCCACCTCAGGCCAAGCCTGGCCTTTTTCCCAGAGGATGTGCGAGCGCGTGCCAGGGCCCTGCGCCTCGGCAGAACTGGCCATATTTGAGCGGTGCAGATTAGCATGTGACGCCGTTAGCCGACAGCCCTGACTTTGAATCGCCCTTTATGTTTTTCTGGGAGCGTTGGCCCTTGAGGTAGCCACAGCAGCATAAAGCAGTTAAGAAGGAATTATGATCCCCGTTTAAAAGCGGAATCCTAGAAGTGCGTTGAGGTGCAAGGCAAGATTCTGTCGTGCTTCCTTGGCCTGTGCGCCCTGCAGCTGTCGGGGAACAGGTCTGCCCTTCAGCACTGCCTGGTTTTCGAGGACACAGGCTGCAGGCACCGTGGGCCAGGACCAGAAGCCAGGCTGTGCGCCTTGGAGACCGAGGGCCCCATTAGTGAGAGCTTTCGGGGTGGTGTCAGTGGTACAACACTTACCTAGCATGTGCTGGGCTCCGGGTCCAATCCCCAGCACTGCGAAAGAAAAATAAACACCTGCATACGCTTTCGGGAAATGAAAAACTTTTAGTTGAAAAAAAAAAGGCGGCAGTGTTAGGTGAGTTTAGGACTCAGGGTAAGGGAAGTTTAGGTTTTCTGGGCATGGCTTCTTAGAATTGATTGGCCCATTCCCTCTTGCTGTTTTGCTGTGGGTGGGAGTATGTCTGATGTTCCAGCATTGTTTGGTTAAGCCAGTAAGTGGGCTGTGAGTGCCCACTGCCATACCTGAAGGCCTCTCCTTTCTCCACGCTGTGCCCAACATACACAGACCCAAGTGGCCGGCACTTGATTGATGGATTCTATCAGGACCTGAGAACCTTCTGACCTCAGGTTCTGCGTGTGCTTAATAAATACTATTTAATAGTTGAGCAATGAGCGAGAAAAAAAGGAAGTATTTAAATTACCTGTGATTGAAGAATTTCCTTCCAGTAATCCCAGCACGCTGGGAGGCTGAGGCAGTAGGATCACAAATTCCAGTTTAGCCAGGTGTGGTGGCACATACCTGTAGTCGCAGCACTTGGAAGCCTGAGGCAGGAGGATTGCCATGAGTTTGAGGCCAGCCTGGGCTACATAGCTCAAGGCCAGCCTGAACTACATAGTGAGACCCTGTCTCAAAAAAAAAAAAAAGTCATAAAGACACAAATTCCAGCTTAGCCTGGGCAGTTTAGTAATTTGGTGAGACCCTGTCATGAAATAAAACCCGAAAAAGGCTGGGGATGTAGCTCAGTGTGAAGGCCCTGGGTTCAATCTGCAATTAAACTTTGGAATGAATAGCATGAACGTTGCGTGACAGCCTCAGGGCAAGAGGTAGATTCAGTAGATGATAATCCAACAGTTCTTTTTTTTTGGAACGGGGTATTGAACTCGGGTCCTTGCACTTTTGAGGCGGAACCACTGAGCTGAATCCCTAGCCCTTGAAAACCCCTTTCTTAAGAGACCTGTGATATTTATGACTCAATATCCAAAGTTGTGAAGCAGATAAGTCTGTGATGGTTCTTTTTTTTTTTTAATTCTTTTATTGGTAGATTTTAGGTATACAATTCATTTACAATTATCATTGGGTGTTTGTACCTGTTCATGATATATCTTGGTTCTTGTTTTTTCCCTTTACCTGTGTGCCCTTCACCCCCTCTACCCTTCCCTATTTACATAGATTTTATTTCCATTTTTTTTCTTTTCTCATAGTTTTTCCTTTCCCTCTTTTCCTTTCCCCATTCTCCTCCCTTCACCCCTTTGTCTTTGGACCTTTTTTCCTATTTCAAATTATCAATTATTCATTGTAATCATTTTAACCCTTGTTTACACTATCAGTTTCTCACACTAGAGAAACTATTGTGATGATCCTTTTAACAAAAGTGTTTATGAATTCATGTTTCAGAAACTTTCAGTATGGGCTAGTGGTTAAGCTCAGATAGGCCCTGGTCAGATTGCCTGGGTTTTAATCATGGCCCCTGCTTTTCATTAGCTGTGTCATGTCAGGAAAATGATTTACCTTACCTATGCTTCAGTTTCTTTATCTGTAAAATGGAGGTAATAATAGTATGAATCTTACAGAACTATTGTGGGGGTTAAGTAACAGAGAAAAGCACACACAGTATTTGACTCTTTTTTTTTTGAGACAGGGTCTCACCATGTAGTCCAGGCTGGACTCAAACTCATGATCCTCTTGCCTCAGCCTCCCAAGTACTGGAATTACTGGCATGAGCTAGTATGCCCAGCTATGGGCTATGTTTGACACATTTTAAGTGTTTGGCAAATGTTGCTGTTTCAAATAGCAAATTCCCTTAATGTATTCTTGCATATTTGTGGGTTCAGAGTATTAACATGTCAGGGGATGAGGAAGGATAAGCTTAAAGTTATGTGGTATTGAGCAATAATCAAATGAAGTCTTAGTAGAAGAAGAAATAAGGGACCCAGAAATTATAGGTCAATAGATATTTACTATACAGATTTTATAAAGTGTTATTGAGTGCTTTCTATGCTAGGGCCCGATACCTTGCACTTTCTCATCTGATATAATCTTCATGTAGGACTTTGAGTTCAACTCCATATTTAGAGGGGAAAGTTGAAGCCCAGGGAAGTTACAAGATTGCTTGAGATCACAAAGGTAGTGAGTCACAAAAGCAGAATCCCAAGTCTATTTCTTTTTTTTATAGCAAAACATTTATTGGTTCATTTTAGACACACATATGATAACACTTATCATAGGGAATTTGTACCTAGTCTGTTTCTTTTTTACAATCTATGAATAGGAAAATGATTCAGTTTATGCCCCCCCCCCCCATACAGGCACACACACCAAATTTCCTTGTAGGCTTTCAGGAATATATATCAGTGATCAGAATTTGTAAAACTTTAGATTGGAAGCTTAGCAGTGGTAGGTTTGAGTGGTGAGTTAGTCCACTCTGCATCACTGTTACAAAATAACCGAGGTAATGAACTTAAAGGAGGAAACATTTATTTTGCCTCATGGTTTCAGAGTTTCAGTCCATGGCCACTTGACCTTGTGGTTTTGGGCCTGTGGCAGCACAGTTCATCATGGAGGGAGAGTGTAGTGCAGGAAACCTGCTGGTTTCATAGTGGCCAGGCCAAGATGGCCCCAGATGACCTAACTTCTTCCTGCAAGACCCCACCCTTTAAAGGTACCACCACCTTCCAATAGCACCATGAGCTAGAGACCAAACCATCAATGGTTGAGCCTCTGGGTGACCTTTGGGATCCACAGTACAAGGGATAAAAAATATTCTCACTAGAAATTGACCTTCCCCTAGCTCTGGATTTGTTGTTTGTTTTGTCATCCTATCAACCTAATTACTAGTGAGAGTTCCACTCCCAAGAGAGAATTCTGAGACCGCTTCTTTAACAACTAGAGCCCTTTTCAAAAATTAATAATCAGGAACAAGGTAACTTTTAGAATCTTTGGCTTTGATTCTTTTACATCACAAGAGTAGAAGTTGCTGAAAATTATTTTGATTTAGATTTTTCTTTTTCTACTTTGGGCTCGAAAACAGAGATCAGATATTCTTTTTTCCCCAGTACTAGGGATCGAACTCAGGACCTTGAGCTTACCAGGCAGGTGCGGTGCCACTGAGCTACATCCCCGGGCCAATATTATTTTCTAGGATGTTTGATTCTAGAATCAAGCTACGGGTGGGTGAGCTTGGGGAAAGTGTGCACTGTGTGCTTGGGGCTGATGCTGTCGCTCAGTGGCTGTGCAAGGCTGGCTTCCGTCCCCAATGCCACAGAGCTTAATTGCTTAGAGCTTCTTTGGAACTTTTTGTTTGTTTGTTGTTGTTGTTTTCAGTTGGAAGACTCATGATTGGTGCCTTCCAAGGACAGACAGATATTTGGAGGGGGAAATCACAGTTTTTCAAGGTAGGTGGGTAAAGGGATTGAAGAGGCATCAAGAAAAAAATGAGTTAGAAGTCATCTAAAGATCATTTATTTTGTGCCATTGGGTGTTCCCTGTGGCTCCTTGTGTCTTGGGGTGGGGGTGGGGTCCTCCCTCCTGTCTCTGTTGTTTTGGAATTCTCGTGGGCTTGAACCAGCAGTGACTTCAATGTGTACTGAGGATTGGTTGTTAGCCAGAATGAAAAGATGGCCCTTTGATAATGGCACAGAAGTTAGAATTAGAGGTATACACTTGGGAGCCAATTGTCCCGTAACAAGGGTGCTATCACTCAAGTTTCCTTATCCTGTCAATTCTTTATTTTTTGTACCGGGGATCAAACTCAGGACCTTGTGCTTGTGAGGCAGGTGGTGGTACCACTGAGCTAAATTCAAGGCCCTTCCTGTCACTTCTTATGGTGTCAATAAATTGTGTTGCAAAAGAATGATGTTTTCCTATTATCTGAGATCACTTACAGACCACCATTGGGTGTTGCCCATACATTCCAGCTGGTTTGCTTTGCAAAGAGGTTTACATTCTTGCCTGTGGTGCCATTTGGAATAAGTGGGTATATTGTCAATGTCCCAAATAATAACTCCCAAAAGACAAAAGAAGAACACCAGCCATGGGCTCCCAAACCAAGTAACATATGTAAGCCCAGTTTTGTCTGTTACAGCAAGGACCGACTACGGGGAATTACTGGGTCAATAATGTCTGTATTACGACTTCCTCTCCTCCCTAAGACACAGGAGCCAATTAGTACACAACTGTCTGTGGCCTTGTTTCAAAAATGCTCTTGTTCAGTGTGATCTAAGATGAGCAGCAATCTGTTACCTATTTACACACCTGGGATTTCAGGTAGTG